GGAAGTATCTCATTTCTTCTAAGGATGCTGTCCCCGCCCCTAGCTGATGAAAAGAACCGAGGCAACCCCTCTTAGCCATGTTTTTCTTTATTACCCAGACCCGTGGCTTCTAGGATGTGTAAGGGAAATTGAAAATGCTTTTGACTTCCTGGGTCAGAAAGAACCCGGTGCAGGGCTGAGCTCAGGCTCTTCTTCATGTTCTAGGGCATTGAGAAACAACCATCCAAACAACAAAACACAACTTGGTATCTGGAGTCAATTTCCAAACACAGAATACCAATATGTTGCTGGGATTTTGTGAGTTTCCACCCCACCGTCTTTCTCCCCACACCCCTTATGGCCCAGGTTTGGACTGTATTTCTTTCTTTGTCTTCTCTTTTTCTCTTTTCTTTTCTTTCTTCCTTCCTTCCTTCCTTTCTTTCTTTTTTCTTTTCTTTTTTCTTTTTGTGAGGAATGGAGCCGGTAGAGAAGGACAGCCAGTGAGACTGGATGGCCTGGGGGTGGGCTTGGGTTCCACCTGGTCCAGACAGTGTATGCTTCAACATAGGGAAGGAAAGGGTGGAGGATGCCTTCCAAAAAGGGTGGAAGGAAATCCAGGTGTGCTGGGAGAGGCAGAGGAGGGGCCTGGCAAAGAAAAGGACTGGCTAGTGTCCTTGGCAAGAGCAGTTCACCTCAGGTTGGAACATCCCTGTCTTCTGAGCCACTTTTGAAAAATCACTCCTTTAAAAGCTGAACTGGGGATGGGGGCTGAGGAGGAGAGGAGTCAGAGAAGAGGTCGGTAGATCAAAGGATGGTGATAAAGGAATTGATGATACCTTTGGTCCTCAGGCTCTGCAGGGGTGTGATGAGTGCAGAGAACTCACTAGACTTCCCTTTTCCTGATCTCACCTTCCAGTGACCCCAGGCTCTCCACTGGAGTCTGTGAGTCCCTCGGCCAGGGGGTATGTCACCAGGGAAATTCTAAACACTGATGTCAGCCAGGCCCCAAGGAGGTTGGTCTTTCTCCCTCCAGGTCCAGCTCTCTCCCTGTTTGCTTGATGTCCTCCTGAGCTTATATAGCCTGGAAAAACACCACCACCACCACCACCACCACCACCACCACCACCATGGGCTTGAGTCCTGGCTCTGGGTGACCACACCACATCCTCCAGCCTTTTCCTGAAAGGAAGCCTTAAAATGTTGATCTGAAATTGAACTGAGTTAACTCCCATGAAGGTTCAATAGGGCTGAGAAGTCAATCTTCGTGGGCCTTTCTCCATGAGGCTAAGGGTAGGCGGTCCCTTGTTTCATTTCTGGAAACAGCCAGAAAGGTGGCAGGTGTGAGGAGGGAGGTCAGGGAGGGCTGCCTTCTATCCACTCTCCCAGCCAGGCCTCCACGCTCCTAGTCTTCTTGTTAATGGCTATTGTATATTGTACCTGCTGCATTCCACAGGGAGGGACCCAAATGAGTAAGTGACTTGTGAAAGAATCCATGCTGGCCTGACTCCTGTGAACTTGGGCACATGTACATTTTGTCCTGAGTTCTTGTATAATTCCAGGTGTAAAAGACATAGATTATAACATCTTTCTTTGAAGGTTTTCTTTTTATGTGTTAATTATGTGCATGTTTGTGTCTATTTGTGGGTATGCATACATGAGTACAGGTACCTGAGGAGGCCATACGAGGGAGTGCAATCTCCTGGGGCGGGAGTTGCAGGTGGTTGTGAGTGTGAGTGGATGCTGAGAACCCAACCGGGGTCCCCTGCAGGTGCTGTACCCACTCTAAAGCTCTGTGCTGTGGAACCACTGCAAACATCATTCAGCCCCCCCAACATCTTATTCTTTCGTGGCTGTTTATATAAATCAACACTCTCCTTTTTCAGTAATGAGAAGCGGCTTAATTGAAGGCTATATTCAGTAACTTACTACAAGACCCAAGAAAGAGATCCTGGCTGGGCAAGGAGAGAAAATGACTGGGAACCAACGGATTAAAGGTACTCTGGGACTTTAATCCCAGCCTCCTTTAGGCAAGAGAGTTCTTCCTCCCTGCTCCCCCAAAGCCTCCTTAGGTCCCTGGGGACGCTGGAGAAGGGGGCTACCTGGAGGCACAGGGCTGGGAACGCGGCTGGGGCCAGACCTTTGATCTCTCCTCCAGCCTCTAGTAAGCTCAGTCCCAGGCTGCCCCAAAGCCAGCTGGGCTGGGTCAATAGACACTGGGAACAGGAAGAGACCCAGCATGCTCACTTCACACATTGTAAAACACACAAAGATCCCAGTTCCAGATAACTCCCAGTCATTTCTCCTCACTTCTGCCTCTCAGCGAACAACTTACCGGGCACCGCCAATGTGCATTAACTTATTCTCAAACAGAAGCAGAAGATATGATCACGTTCAAGCCCGTTGACTTCAGAGAGTCTGTTTGGCCCGAGACCCCCACTTGGCCAGACAAAGAAATAAATCCATCAAGTCTGGCACTCGAAGTTCCCCCTTCACCAAAGAGGCTCTTGGTAGTGTCTCTCTCAGCCCACAGGTGGTGGGGGACTGGTAGGGTTATGGCCTTATGGGTTCTCAAACTCCAGACAGTGGACAGGAGGAAAGGGTTTACAGGCTTTTGGAGCACATCACTTACACAACAAACAGGCAATGAATTCTTCTATTAGGATGATTTAACTGAGGAAACCTGTGCCTAAACTCAACAGACCTAACACCCCCTCATCAACAAAAACAACTCTGGTGCTGTAGGCCGGAGAGGATGCGGGTCCACTGAGGTCCACCTCAGGGGAATCTCATCTGCAGTCATCCTCTTCCATCTTGAATAATTCCTTTTGGGACCAGTCAACTTACTCTCACCTAGAAGAAGCTGCATCTGGGGAGGAAGGAGTAGCCCAGCATCCTTGCTTGCCTGAGTTGGCCTTCCTCCGCGGGAGAAGTGTCAGGAATCTCCGTTCTCCTTTAACGCATCTTACTCACAGCATCAGATGAGATGAGGAACCAGGACAAATATAGATGAGAAGCTTCATGGGCAGCAGGTGTGGCCCCCCAAAATCAGACAGTTTCTTTGAACCTGTACTCTAAAAGACAAAGATGGCAAACCCTCCTTGTAGCATCATAACGAAGATTAAAGATGATACAGAAAGCACATGGAACTTAGCAGGTATTCATGGAGCAGAAGTGTTCCTCCTTAGAGGCAGGGCTGCATTTTAATCACCCCAAAGGGACAGCACCTAAAGACAGCACCTATGTAGACATGGTGCTTTTTGTGTCTGGCGGTCGGACTTTGCAAAGCTGTGTGGCGTTTACTCCAAGTTGCTCCTGCTCTATTCCCGGCTTTCCAGGCAGGACTATGCACCCCAGGACCACCCTGTCATAATGAAAAAGGAGTCCCACTCACCCAGAACAGAACCATTGTGTCAAATTTCTCTTGAATAAAAACTCTTGAGGAGAAAAGTGTAGTCCTTATATTTATCTTTCCAAAACAAACAAACAAACAAATGAACAAAAAACCCTCTTAAAACAGCCTTATCTGTTACGTTTTTCTTTCTTCCTTTATTTCTCTCCCTCTCTCCCTCCCTCCTTCCGTAGATCCCTCCCTCCCTCCCTCCCTCCCTTCCTTCCTTCCTTTCAGCAGGGGTTCTCAGTCCTGGCTGTCCTGGTCCTGTAAGACCAGGCTGGCCTCGAACTTACAGAGGTTCACCCGCCTTTGCCTCCCCAGTACTGGAATTAAAGGCGTGTGCCATCACTATCTGGTCCTTGCCTACTACTTTTAAGTTCATCCAGCATGGATTGTCTTAGGGATCCCTTGCCGCTTCCTGGCCCACTTCCGACCCTTTGTGAACTTCTCACCTGCTTAGGAAGCCAAGCTTCAGGAACCTGGAAATCCCTCCCACCTTCCTCTCCTGTTTGGGGAAGATACCTGAGGATGGAGCTAACGACAAAGCCCTGTGAGTTTCCCAACTTACTTATTGATTGGTTAAACTTAAAAACAAAACAAAACCTAGAAGGAAGCTCTTTTACTGTAAATATTTGATGTGTGTATAGGATGAGGTCTGGATTCACACTCTAATAACTTGCTCAGTAGGAAGCCCTCTCCTGATTTTCCTGGACACAGCCGGCAGGAGGAGGCGAGAGCCCGATTGTGGCTCTCTTAGCCTTGGGGAGGGCGCAGTCTGAAGGTGCAGCCCTCGGCAGAACCCCGCAAAGCCTTTCCCCTGAACGCCCACGAGGCAAAGCTCCGCCAAGAGAACTTTGTCACCTAGGTCCGGCTCACTGGCACCTGAACGAACGACCTTCAAGCCAATGTGAGTCTGCTCTCTCTCCACCCTGGTGGGGGTGGGTGGGTGGAGGAGCTCCTGACAAAGATTTGTGGGTGTCAAACTCTCACTCACCATATTTATACACACCGGAAACCTTCAACAAACATCTGCGGCGCAGGAGACTTTGGGGGCGGGGGCAGATTCAAAGGCTCGACCTTCAGAGGATTGGTGAATGGGACTCAAGCCACCTTGAGACGCCCAAAATTCAGGAGCAGGCGTGGGGGAGGTGGGGGGAGATTCTGGTCTTCAGCATGCTAAGCTCGGGGTCCCGGTGTGGGCCCCCAGTGGTCATCAAGGGTGAGGAACCACCTAGTTCCCCAGTTCAGAACAGTCCACAACTCCGGCAAGAGCGCACAAACGAGTAGCTGGAGGAAGATAAGGTATGGGCTTCTAGTGGAACAAGGTGTCTAGGGGACTCAGGGGCACTCGGAGAGACCCAAGGTTACCAGCGCCCGCCACCTACTCAGCACCAACCGAGCGGCAGGCCTCTATTCAGCCTCTAAACTCTATCACCCATCTTCTCTTCCCCACCACTGCAGCTCACCACCCGCTACTTAGGACCTGGGGGCGCAGGGGCGGGGCGGCAGGCAAACTGGACCGTGACAGGTGCGCCCCTCGGCCAATCGCCGGACGGACACCCCTCCCCGGGCCCCCGCTGCGCGCGCCAATCCCAGACCGCGCTGAGCTTCAAGTGTGCGGAGGGGCGCGGGTCCCCACCAAGGCGCCAGCGGCCTCGGCGCGGTCGCTTGAGCGCTTGAGAGCAGAGAGCCGGCCTCCCCAATCCAAACTCGCAGGAGCGCTCGCGTGGGAGTTTGTACCAGCGAGTGGAGCGCAGTCGCCCGGAGGACCACAAGGAGGAGGCGTCTGGATCATGGTCGCTCTCGGCTGAGTTTACGGCTGCGACTTTGATTATTGGCAAATAATCGCAGTAACAATACCGAGCCCTCGGGCTGGCCACCGCCACATTCAGTCTCTGCAAGCCCGCACACGACCGCGCCGCCCACCCCTGGACACTGATCGTCAGCCCCAAACGAGCCGATGGAAAAATCCAAAAATTTCCGCATCGACGCCCTGCTGGCGGTGGATCCCCCGCGAGCCGCTTCCACTCAAAGCGCGCCGCTGGCCTTGGTCACTTCGCTCGCGGCCACAGCATCTGGCCCCGGTCGAGGCGGCAGCGGTGGCGGGGGGACCAGTAGCGGGGCAAGCCGCAGCTGCAGCCCAGTGTCCTCGGAGGCCACTGCAGCGCCGGGAGACCGCCTGCGAGCTGAGAGCCCGTCACCCCCGCGCTTGCTGGCTGCGCACTGCGCTCTGCTGCCCAAGCCGGGATTCCTGGGCGCCGGAGGAGGCGGCGGCGCGGCGGGTGGGCCGGGCACTCCCCACCACCACGCGCACCCGGGTGCCGCCGCCGCCGCTGCTGCCGCCGCCGCTGCTGCCGCTGCCGGCGGCCTGGCACTGGGGCTGCACCCGGGGGGCGCGCAGGGCGGAGCTGGCCTCCCAGCACAAGCGGCTCTTTACGGTCACCCGGTCTACGGTTACTCGGCGGCGGCGGCAGCGGCTGCGCTGGCGGGCCAGCACCCTGCGCTTTCCTACTCCTACCCTCAGGTGCAGGGCGCGCACCCCGCTCACCCTGCCGACCCCATCAAGCTGGGTGCCGGCACCTTCCAGCTGGACCAGTGGCTGCGCGCGTCCACCGCGGGCATGATCCTGCCCAAGATGCCGGACTTCAGCTGTGAGTACCTGCGCAGCACCGGGGCAGTTCTCGCATCGCGCATCTTCCTCTCCCGCACCCCTTTCCTTTCTCCCTCGCCTCTCAGTGAGCTGTGCAAGCGCAGCGAAGGCGCCACAGCTCATCCCCGGGCCTGTGAGGCCTCGCGTGGGCCGCGCGGCGTGAGAGGAGCAGAGAATTATTAAAATGGCCACGCTCAGGCCTTGCTTTCTCTTTCTCTCTTAATGGACCAGGGAGGTTAGAGGTGTGAGGCTGAAACCTAATGATTAACTTGCAGGTTGGAGAAGGAAGTGCGTGGGAAGGCTAGCCAAAGAGGGCCTCGAATGGGGCAGGTTTTAGGATCACTGATACCTGGGGCTTAGCACGGGGAACATGAACTTGGCCAGGGGCTCTAATGGGCTACGAAGAGACACATCACCGGGTCCAGAAGTAGCTAAGGAGAACATGGACTCCTAAAGTATCAGGGCTACAAGGCCAGGGTCCAAGCTCTTTTCTGGCCCTTGCCAGGACTCTGCCTTCCTCCGAAGGGCCAAGGTGTGTGTGTGTGTGTGTGTGTGTGTGTGTGTGTGTGTGTGTGTGTGTGTGTGTGTGTGGTGGGGGTTCCTGTATACAATGTCCAAGAGGTCTGTTTTGAACAGAAGGTCGCAGGGACTCTACATAGCAAGTGTCCTCCTGGAATTCCAGGTTCCCAGCACCTTTGGGAGCTCCTGTCCAAGGTGGGAGCAAAGAAGGCCCAGCATCTTCTCTGCCATCCAAGAAGGACAACCTTTCAGACTTCCCTGGCACTCGCTGCATTTGCATCTGTGTAGTGGCTCTGACTCTTGCCCTGTGCCTCACATGGGTCGGGGCAAACTGCCTTTCCATTCTGGCCAGAACAGAAGATGTATATGACTTTCCCCTGTCAGCCGCCCAACACCCAAACAAAGAGACCCCATTGTTTCCGTCTGAGTGGGTTTGTTTAGACTGCGGAGATGCAGGCACTGGAGGGAAAAAAGCAAAAAAGAAAACAGAAATAAACACTTGCCAGAATTCAGATTCCTCTGCTAGCAGCAGTGGTTGTGACTAAACAGAGAAAGCGAGGACCCCAGAGGACTGCAGAAGTAGCAAGGTGGTGAGAGAATCCCAGCCAGCAACACTTGTTTGCTCAAGCCACCCAGGCTTTTCCCAGCTTGGCTCCAAGAAGGCCAGCCTTGTTGATCTCGGCAAAGAGGAAAGGCTTCCACTAACCTCAGGTGGGGGGCTGCAGCTCAGTCTCTGACTTTGTCCCCCTTATCCAGTAAGTCCTGGGCAGGATCTAAGCCTGGGTGAGGAGCTCAGCAAACCCCTTCAGATGGAAACCTACCCATATATGTCCATTATGGCCGCACCTCCTAGGCTTGGGATGCATAGGTACCCAGAGAGGAGCTGATCACTGGTCACACCACCAACAGACCTCTATGGCTTTGGGTTTCCTGACGACCCAAGTGCTCTCTGGGGGGAAAAGGAGGTTTTTGTGGCGCCCATGATCACTCCAAATCCCTGCAAGTGGGACCCCTTTGCCAGCACAACCAGCCCATAGTGTCTCATGGTGGCTGCATTCAAAGTATGGCCTGTTCTACATCGATCGAGAAAAGAATCTAAACCCTAGACCCTGCCCGGCACTAAGGAATGCAACAGAGGGTGGCTGAGTGTTCTATTTCTGGGACTACCCTCTCACCTGGGAAAACAGACTTGATTTTCTTTAATTGGTTGTTTCTACCCATTGGATGGCATTTCCCAATGATCCCTTCCGAGCCAGTGTTTTAATTAGAGTTCTAATGTATTGTCAAGTTGGGAATTCGTAGCCTTGTTTAACTAAAGCAGGGGGCGTGGACCTTCCTATAAAGCAAATTGCCCATCCCAGGGGAGCCTGAGCTCATCCCAGCCAGGGGCTGGCCTCTTTCTTTCCTTTGCTTTCTTTCTTTTATTGTCTAACACTCTTTGGACTCCTGGGAAATCAGGGGAAGTCTCGTTTTGAGGTCATAAAATTCTCTGTGATGTAACCGTGCGAAATTATGTAAATAAAGGACAGATCTCCTGGAACATACAGAAAGCCAGATCCACTCACAGCTCGGCCTTTCATTTGAGTAATGAGAATCGTCGGAACAGGCTTCCAGTCCTGTGCTCTCTGCTCCAGGAGGAGGGAGCTTGTCAAGACAGACTCGGAGACACTCTGATGAATATGCTTATTTAGACTCCAGCTTCTGTTCTCTCTCTCTCTCTCTCTCTCTCTCTCTCTCTCTCTCTCTCTCTCTCTCTCTCTCTCGGGCCCCACGCGGCTTTTCTCCTCTTCGGCTTTAAGATGGTGGCAGAACCAAGAGCATGGGTGCTTTCCTAGGTGGAGGTGGAGGAAGGCCCTCCACGAGAACAGGGGCGGCCGCTTTGGTCTCTTGCTGATCCAGCCCGGCTTCCCAAGCTTTTAGATCAAGCCTCTTCCTACCAGTGTTCATACAGGTGGCCCCTGAGAGCAGGCAACAGACCCTATTTAATCGCGACCCTCGAATGAAAAGATTGTCTATTGGGACAAGGCCTCCCCTTCTTCTGGGTGTCTGAGATGTGGGTTCTCCGGTCCGTGGGGAGTAGGCACTGATGTTGAAAAGAAACCCACGTCTGCAGGGTGGGCGCTGGAGACTGGACCTTGGGGGAGCAGGGTGGGCAGCAATGGCTGGAACAGGGGCAATGGACAAACCTACAAAGGCCTCTCGCCCTTTCGGTCTACAGCCCAGGCGCAGTCGAACCTCTTGGGGAAGTGCCGAAGGCCCCGGACCGCCTTCACCAGCCAGCAGCTGTTGGAGCTGGAACACCAGTTCAAGCTCAACAAGTACCTGTCGAGGCCCAAGCGTTTTGAAGTGGCCACCTCGCTCATGCTCACAGAGACCCAGGTACGCACCGATACCCCGCCCCCGGTCAGCCAGTCCCTCGAAACCGCCCAGGCGGGTACTGATTTGGGGAACTGGGTCCCAGCCTCTTGACCTTTAGGTTGGGTTTTAATTCTCAGTGGGTGAGGTTCTAGGAAGACCCAGAGCGTTTCCACGCTGGAGGTTTGACTCAATAGGTTGGGGGTACAGACCGAGAATCTGTATTTAACAATCTGTATTCTCCATTCTGGAGAAGGTGTCCCTCAGGCCACATTCTAGGAGGTTCTTTCTCTAGAAAGGTGCGGATTTGAGAGTTTAGAGGCCTGCCAGCTGCCTTGGTGCTTCGGAAGACCAAGGGCATGGAGTAAAACACTCCCAGTTGGGGAGTTGGGGGTACCACGCCCAGCTATGGGGTTACTGATGAGTAGAGTGGATGTAGGGGCGAGGGAATTGAGAAGCCGCTGCCCAATCAGCTTCTCAGTCCTCTAGCGAAGCCCCTTCTAGGGTTAAGGTGGGCCGAGGGGGCAGGGGTCCCTAGTGCTCACACCCTCTGGATTCGTGGGGAAATGCAGGTGGCGGATTTCTCACGCACACTTGTGCCTGCAGGTGAAGATTTGGTTCCAGAACCGCCGAATGAAATGGAAACGCAGCAAAAAGGCCAAAGAACAGGCTGCGCAGGAGGCCGAGAAGCAAAAGGGTGGCGGCGGGGGCGCCGGCAAAGGTTGCGCTGAGGAGAAGGCCGAGGAAGAGCTGCTGGGGCCGCCGGTGTCCGGGGACAAGGCCAGCGGCCGTCGCCTGCGGGACTTGCGAGACAGTGACCTGGATGAGGACGAGGATGAGGATGAGGACGACCACTTCCCCTACAGCAATGGCGCGGGTGCCCACGCTGCCTCGTCTGACTGCTCATCCGAGGACGACTCGCCTCCCCCAAGGCCGGGCGGCCCGGGGCACCAACCTCCGCCCCAGTAGTTGCCTCAAGCTCGGCAGCAGGGACGCGCACGATGGCCACCCGGTTGTGGGTTTCCAACCCCATCCTGTGGCCTGCAGCCAGTCTGGCAGCCTGTCCCCGGACCATGCATCCAGGTGCGGGCTGGGGTGGGGGGTCCTATTTGGGCCCTCGAAGAAGAGAGAGAGAGAGAGAGAGAGAGAGAGAGAGAGAGAGAGAGAGAGAGAGAGAGAGAAGCTCCAAGGTGAACTTTCGTTCTTTTAAATTTAATTTCGGGTTGTGTTGGCCGGAGGTGTTTGTGAGAAGAACTGACCCCTTCTAGGAGTGGCTTCTGCTTGCCTCTTCCCTCATCGGAGAAGGGAAAACTACAGTGTTAAGTGACCTAGAAACTTGAAACCTCCTTTGGAGACACCATTCTGCTGAGAACTGAAAACAGAAAAAAAGGTTTTATGCCTATGTATGGGGGGTGGATGTTATGAGCATTCAGACTGCTGAAAAATCTCAGAATGGTAGTGTATTTTTGTATATTGTATTTATATATAAAGAAAGAAACGTCTACTTATGCATGCTAAATTATTATTTAGCTTCCCCGTTCCCCAGGGTGGAGATGGAATGTAAAATAAATTGGTTTTGTACTGGATGCGAGTGAAAAAAAGAACTTTAATTTTGGAAGGAGGAGGATTGAACCCAGGACCTTGGGCAAGCTAAGCAAGTGCTCTGCTACTGGTCCACATCACCAGCCCAGGAAGTGCAAATCTTGTGGGGTCTGGCTGTTTTTGTTGTCGGGATGGTTCGGGTCTCTACTTCGTGATTATCAGAAAAGGGTGAAAGTCGGAATGACGAATGGGTGTCAGGACCACCTCCATGCCTGGGCCCCCAAGACCGAACCTGACTCCGGAGGCTGAAGCTGCAGGAGGGGGTGGGGGCGCAGGTGTGAAGTGTGGCTAAAAATATCAGAGGCCAGGTGTCAGGATAAACCCGCGCCTGGCTTCAACCCTGAGCTGTTCGTGACTCTTAGCCGAGTGATTTTGGACACTGTGTTTATTTCCCATTTACTTGCTGGATCTTTTAGCTTCATTGGCATGGGCATATAGTATTTAAATGTTTCGGAGAATAAGCTGCCAACAACTAGGTGTTAGTGGCATTTGGGGTCCTAGAGACCGCAGGGGCTAAGCAAGCACATTTCCCGGAAAAGCGCTTAATGGCGCCATGCAGCGCATTCTCCTTTTGACCAGGGCCCCTCCGCCAGCACAATATCCCTTGTGCTAGCCAGGAACGATTTTGTTGGATCTGTGCAAATGTCTTCTGAGAGGAAGCGGCGGGCAGCAAGAATGCTCTATGCCAGGGCTGCAATGGCTCTGGGTTAATAAACCTCCGCAGCGAACGCCATCAATCATTCAACCCTAGACCATGTGCGGCACACATGCCGGGCGGGCCCAGCCCTAGGCGCACTGGGCCTTTGCATTCTGACTCTGGCCTGGGAATACTGGGTCCACCGGGTCTGGTTCGTCCCCCGCTCCCCATTCCCGCTTGGCTGTCTAGGCGGCCAGTTTTCTACTAAGACCAGATGTAGAGGGACGCCTTGTAGTCACCCTTTCTTGTGTCTGCCGCCTGTCGGTCACTTTCTCTCCCACACCTGGGTAAGGGCGAGCAGCCCCCTCCCCTTGCTTCTGCCCGCCCGCCCTCCCTCCCAGCTGATGAGAGTTCAGAGGGGCCTGGAGTTTCATTTGGGTGATTACAGCGGGGCCAGCGGGGCACTCCTCCATCTCAGAGCCGAGCCAGATTAATATCCTCCTGGCAGCTCATTATCACCCTGGGCTCCTTCCGTAAAATCCAAGCCGGCCCAAGCCGGGCGGCGTGGGGATGGAAGCCAGGCAGGGCAGCTGCTGAGCGCCGCGCGCGCGATCGACCGGAATCCCAGCAGCCTTCAGATCCAAAGGCTCTTTGGGGGCGACACTGGGTTTGCAGGGCGGGGGAAGTGAAGGGCTGGAGGAAAGGGAATAGGAAAATCTGAGAGGAGCGAATGAAAGAGAGAGAAAAAAGGCAGATGCTTTTTCTTTCCACCTTTTAAAAAGGATGCATGTATCTCTTTTTAATTTCTAACACATTGGCGAGGTTCAGCCCGAAGCAATCTCTTCGCAGGTTTGCTCCACATCTGGGGGTTATTTTCCCTGTGAGGATGGCCATCCCAGTCTCAGAGCCTCGGAGCCCTAAACACTGGGTAAACAGAAAAGGGAGGCCTGGACCTGGGATGGAAGGGTAACAACCGACCTGGGAACTCTGGGTGCCCCCACTCCAAGGGAGAGACGCTCCCCTGGAACAAAGGCCAGCGGAAAGCTGGAGGAAGAAACAACCACAAAGACCACCCCCTTCCGTTTCTCCGCACTCGGGTACAGCAGGGCAGCAAGACTCGAGTTTGGCGCGCAGATCCGCCGGCGGCCTCAGTGTCTCAAGCCAGCAGCTTAATCGCAGCGGAATTTATCTCGCTAATAAATTTAATGATCAATTCGTTCTTGTCACAGTAGCTCTTCCCCAAATCAATTATAGCAAATTTAAATATAATCACTGCCTCATCCTAGCTTACTCCGGGCACTGCGCACATTCATTCCGCCTAAAGAACTGCCAGGAGGCCTCCTGGCGCTCAGGGAGGGCCGCGCCCCCACTCAGGGTCACCGACTTGGCTGCGCCACCCGCAAGAACCGCCTTGGGCCTCTCCTCCGTCCTCACTCAAGCCTCTGTGCCCCAGGCCAGGATGGTGGGGCTAGAAAAATGGAAAATGGCTTTGCAGTCCCAAGGATTGGGTTCCCAGAACCAGAGCCAGCCAGGTCAACACAGTGGGCGTCCTAATGTCCGGAGTTCGAATTCCAAGTATCATTCTCAGATATCCTAGGGTGGCCCAGCCCGCAGCTGTTCATGCCTGATGCCTACGGTGTGTCCCTCTTCTGCCTAAAGGTGCTTCTGTAGAGTGATTCTGCAGCCCTGCGCTGTGATGTAAGGTCTGGATCCGATTAGAGAGCTCCCACCCAAAGCTGACCTGGACTCCCAGGAACCCCAGCTGTACTAACCTAAAGGTCTGACTCTGATGGCTGATTTCTTGAGAGATCCAAAATAATCTACACCCTTTACCGCCCTTGAGGCCGGGGAGAGACCATAGAGACAGGTTGATAATACAGGGTCTGGAAGCCCAGAGCAACTCGAAGTTGAGGAGATACGCCTGCTCTTTTCATGTTAGCCCTCCCCAGCCCAGAGGGAAACTTATGACTTTATGACCCCCTCATAGCACCGACAAGAGAAACAAAAAAATAGGCAGCTGGAGTTCACCAATGAACTTCAGTGCCACGAAGGACACAGTTAACAGAAAGGTCCACCTAGAAAAGACAGGAAACACAGCAACCCAATGAGTTAACATAGAGAATAAAGAACAACAATTCAACCACAGCAAAAATGAAAATAACACAACTGAAGACTCACAAAGGACTCGAACAGTCACACCAATGGCTAGGAGGAGAAACACCAGTCAAACCTTTAGGATGATGTACTCATTGCAAACACAGAAGACTACAAGTGTTGGTGTGAGGATGTGGAGAAATCTGACCCCTTATGTACCGACTAGATGGAAGTGTAAAGTGGTGCAGTCATTGTGGAAAACCATATAGAAGTGTCTCAAAAAAAAAAAAAATCAAAACCGGGCCGAGAACACAGCTCAGCAGTACAGTGCTTGCCTACTATGTATGAGGCCCTGAGTTCAAGTCCCGTTGTTACCCAAAGAGCAGCAAAATTAAACCAGACCACGCACGGGCCAGCAGTGCTAGTTCTGAATATCCAAAGGAGCTGACAGCAAGCTCTGGAGGAGAAATAAGCATGCTCATGTTTTACAGCATTATTATTCAAAAGAGGCAAGAGCTGAGGGCAAGCTAGGTCTTCCAGTGCAGGTGAGTCTATGAGCAAAATGTTCACACTATGGAGGAAGGGAGGGAGGGAGGGAGGGAGGGAGAAAGGGAGGAGGGAAGGAAGGCTCTGCCACATGCCTCAGCATGGATGAGTCCTGGAGACTAGTGCCCTGAGGCAATAAACCAGCCACATATATAGGCACCATTTAATTTTTTAAAATGTGTATAAATATCTCTGTGTATGTTCATGTGAGTGCAGGTACCCCTGGAGGGTAGAGGCAAGCTGTCCAGATCCCCTGGAGTGGGAGTTACAGGCCTTAAGTGGGTGTGGGCACCAAGCTCAGGTCCTCTGCAAGAGCAGAGAGTACTCTTAACCACTGGGCAATCTTTCCATACCAATGGCATCATTTTAGACCCTCAGACTTAGTCATCTGGTGGTTGCCAGGAAGTGGGAAGAGAGGGTCTGTGGAGTTGTTTACAGGAACACAACTTCAGTTTGGGAAAATGAGAACGTTCTAGAGATCTGGTGCCTAGAAGAGGCGTTTAGTTAACATTACTGTGCTGTACACTTAGAAACAGTGGTGAGAGAGAGGGGGGCACATGCCTATCGCCACAGCTCTGCAGAGGACAGCCAATACGAACCAGGGTCTACATAGGGGAACCATGTCTAAATGACGAAGCTGGTGATGGCGGTCGTATCAGAAGCCTATAATCCTACCATTCTGGAGCCTCAGGCAGAAAAACTGCCAGGGGCCCGTGAGGGTTGCTTAGCAAGACCGCATCTAAAAAAAAGGAGATGAAGATTTTTTTTTTTTACGTTTTCACACCTAGCCTCGGCATTCTACATCCCCCCCCCACTCCCCCCACCCCCCGCCGCCCGCCCTTTTCTCCTTTCTCTTACAAATTAAGGGCTAAGCAGGTCGCTCTGTCCATTAGCCTCGCAGAACTGTGTGGCTCTGAGTGTGGCTCCATGCCCGGCCCTGTGCTTCAGGGTGGTTCCACCCGTACACCTCTCAGGGTTACCAGTTAAAGGAGCCCTGGAGTCTTCCCCTATTTTTAGGGTTGCGGGGACAGTCGGAGAGAGTCCTCTGATCAGTCAGTAGAGCCCCAGGGCTAGCTAGGTGAGAACCCCTGGGAGGAAAGTGGCCCGGAGAGGTGGCTTGGAGATGGGGATCTTAAGGAAGGATCTGGGAGCCTTCCGTGAAGCGTCGCAAGGTGTGGGTACCAAGAAGAATGCTCCCTCCCCCCAGTATCAAAGTTCCGCCGTACTCTGTGTCTCCCTCAATAAAACTAATCCTTCGGAGGTGTGACCTGCGCCAAGAATGCCGCAGTGTTCAGACTACAAGGGCGAATATGTTTTTCAGATTTGGGTTTTATGGTCGGATTAAAGTTTATTTTCCATAATAGGACACCTAATAAAACGCATAAAGCCGGCCCGGGCTCCAGCTGGTGGCCTCGTTTAACACTTTCACTTCGTAAATCACTATAGGGAGCGCCAGGTGTGCGGCGCGGGCTCGCGGGGACGGCGGTAGCGACTCGGGTCCGCGCCCCGCACCGCCACGGCGCGCGCGGCTCCCACCTCCTGGAGTCTGCGTCCAGCAGGAGATGGAGCGGCCCGGGGTCACCTGCCCGCGGGCTTCCCAGCCGCTCGGCCCCGCGCCGACCCCGCATTCCGCCGCCCGCGCACCTGCCGCCCCGCCCCGGGTACACACGGTGCCTGACAATGCGCGGCTCCGACCCATTGTCCCGGGCGGCGCAGGGGCGGGACGCAGGGTGACACCCCCCCGCGGGCGCGGCAAGGGCGGGCGCGCGGTTTACCCAGCTGGGGAGGAACAAAGGCGCGCGCTTATCTCCCCGGCCCGCGCAACCGACCCGGGCAGAGCCGCGCGGGGTCAGGCCTGGGGCGCGGGGCGGGACCCTAGGCTGGGACCGCGAAAGGGAAGTACCTGCCCATGGGCTCCACGCAGCGGCGACCCCGGGGGAGTCAGGGCGGCTCCAATCCTGTCTCCAGGACTTTGTTCAGCAGGGTGCTAGAATAGGCCCTGGAGGTAGGACTGCACTAGCAGGGCGTGCTCCGATCCTGGTTCAGCTCACCCCTAGCGGGCCCCCTTCCTTCCATAGACTCCTGTAATACCCCAGGAAGAGTTCTGGGTGTCTCCATGAAAAACAAGAAGGCAGACCGTGGAAGTGGACGAGTGGGATCCGCGACTGGTTAGTGTTGAAAGCCTACCTAGTTTCACCAAGATGCCGGCAGGTTTTATATTTGTTATATTTTAATTGTCCTGATTAAACTAGTTCTTTCAACCATAATATCTGTTTTTATGCTGGAATTCAATAAAAGAGAGAAAAGGAAGAAAACAACAAAATAAGGAAAAAAAAAAAAAAAACCTAGAAAGGGGGCAGGGAGCGTCCGGGCCGTTGTGAGCCTTGGTTTGCTCAGCTTCCTCGGCTTGGGACTCCCAGGTGGTCACAGGCTGCTTGGGTTAAGCCCTGGCTTAGCTGCCTCTTGCAAACTGTCCCTCAGTGCCAGGGGCCCTTTCCTGCAAACAGAGGCGCAGCTCTCAGGTCTGGCTAGCTCTAGCTCTTCAAGTCAGGGCCAATGCAGACAGGAAACTTTCAGGGTTTTAAAACGACAATAATAATTTAGAAAGGGAATATAAATCGTGTCTTCCTCACGGTGCCACATGTATCTCTTGCTTTCCAGGCAACTCACCATCACGGTGAGTGTAAGCCTTTTTCTTTCTTTTTAATTAATTTATTTTATGTTTATTTGCCTGCATATATGGGCACTACTTATATGCCAGGTGTTCTTAGAGCCCAGAAGAGAGCCCAGAAGCCCCCGGAACTGGAGTTTCAGAAGGTTGTGAGCCGCCAGGTGGGTGAGGACCAGCCTCAGGTCCTCAGCAAGAGCAGCCAGGGCTCTTAACTGTTGAGCCGTCTCCTGACCCCCTTCCAGCCTTTGAACACTGACTCAGTTGCTGGCCCAGTTAGCCAGTCCCTGCGTAGGCCCTGACTTGGCCTAATTGCACCTTAGATGAGGCTGTGACTGACCAATGGGACACTTACTTGCACACAAAACAACCAGAGCCTTAAAACATGGCTGCTACTCTGCATACTGCTCTTGATAGCCAGTGGGCACGTGGAGAGGCTGGCCAGACATAACCCTCCCAAGACGTCAGCAAGCGACAGCAGCCATTGCCGTTAGTCTGGCCAACTCCCATTTAAATGAATAACTGTCATGGAGAGATCTGAAGTCCCTCCTTGGGCTGCATACCACTCAGTGATACAGGGAGGGCCTTGCGGGCACAGCTCACATTTTCTAGCCAAGCCTTCATGGTGTGTGTCACCGAGCTTGGGTTTGTCTACAGGTACTCAGACTGCTGCCTTCGAATGGAGCAGTATTTACCCAGGTACCTACCTGAAGGTGCTGGACAGAATACCTACACTCTGTGTCCAGCAGTCTGGACCCTCCCAAGAGGCAGGGCGAGCCTTGGCCCCTAAAGGAGAGGACTGCAAAGCCATCCTCTAGACATGTGAGGGTACTGCCTTGCACTCTTACTGTGCTTGAGTTCAAGGTGGCTCAGATGACAGGGATTCCAGGTAACTGGTAACAGACAGAAGTTTATTTCTAACGATAACAGGCTGTCACGGGCTGGGCTGGTGACCTCATATGCTGTTATGACCAGACTCTCTATCTGGTGACTTTCCCTTGCTGGCTCTGTATCCCCACCATCAGGAGGGGGGTGTTGTTAAGTTACTTTTCCACTGGCTGGAACCAAATACCTGACCAAAAGTGGCTTCCAGGAGGAAGGGTTTATTTGGGCTTCCTGACAGGAAGGCATGGTGGGCTGGTGGCTTGTGGTCAGAAAGCAGAGAGATATGAACGCTGTTGCTCAGCTTGCTCTTTCCTTTCTGTTCAGCCTGGAACCTATGGGCTGTTACTTCCTATAGTCAGGGTGTGGCTCCTCCTTAGTTAGACCTCTTGGGTCTAAATGACCACACAGACATACCCAGAAGTGTATCTCCTAGGTGATCTAAATCTAGTCTAGTTGACAGTGACGATACAGTTAGCCATCACAGGAGGTAAGGACTGAGGAGTGTGACTCCTTAAGACTTCAGCAATGGATATTTTCCCCACCCCACTGGCTGGAACCCATCACACAACACACAGAACCTCTGGGGACAGGGAGGGGGGGGCTTCCACTTCTGATTCACCGTGGACCTGGCTGAACTGTGCAGTTGGCATGGTGGGATAAGAGGAGATTGAGAAACAAATTCTGTCACAGGGAATTGATGTGGATCTTGTGTTATTGTGGTAAAAAATTTGCATGTGTTTGTCTTAACCACTGTAAGTGGTGCCATATGGCACCTCCCCTCTCTGTACCTCAACTTCCACCATCTAAACATCATATCTGGGGTCTGCAATCCATGCTCTGAGCTCACAGCCAAGTACCCTCTGCCCTATTCTGTGGTGCCGCCTGTTTCAGGAGCTTGGTTCTCCTCCTCCTTCTTTCTTTCTTTTTATTTTGTGTACATTGGTGTGTTGCCTGCACATATGTATGAGGGTGTCAGCTTCCCTGGAACTAGAGTTTATAGACAGTTGTGAAGTGGGTGCTGGGAACTGAACCCAGGTTCTCTGGAAGAGCAGCCTGCGCTCTTAACCACTGAGCTATCTCTCCAGCCTGAGCTTGGTTCTTTTTAAAAATTTTAAATTAAAACTTTTTTTTTTCTAGATAAGGTTTCCCTGTGTGGCCTCAGCTGTTCTGGGACTTGCTTTGTAGACCATGTTGGTCTCGGAGCTCAGAAATTCCTGCCTCTGCCTCCTGAGTGCTGGGATTAAAGGCATGTGCCACCATGCCCAGCCTTTGTTTTGTTTTTTAATGTTTCATTTATTATTTGTGTGTGTGTAAGTATTTCTGCCATAGCACACATGAAGAGGTCAGAGGACAAATTTGTAGAGTCAATTTTCTCCTTCTATCTTTTTTTCTTTTTTTAAAGACAGGGTCTACTGTGTAGTCCTGGTTGACTTGGAACTCATATATAGACCAGACTGACCTCGAACTCGCAGAGATCTGCCTGCCTCTGTCTCACAGGTGTGCGCCACCACACCTGGCCCTCCTTCAGCTTTCCTGTGGGTTCTGGGGATTGAACTGAGGCCGTCAGACTTGCACAAGTAAGCATCTTTGAACTCCACGGCCCATCTCACTGGTCCCACACTTCTTTCTTTTAAAAGTACTCTTAAGACCAGAAAAGCAGGCTTCTGAAAGCCTCCTCTTTGTTTCTGCAGGCACAGAAAACATTACATCCTCAAGCGGCATGCTTTTGGTGTCTTTGAACTTTCAGAAAAACCTTGAGACAAGGGTCCCAGAAGCCCTAGGGGAGCCTCTCCCTGCCCTCCAGCTGCAGGTGGCTGGGGTCATTACCAAATCCTAGCTCAGCACCTGGGTCCCCAGTTGCCTCCGTTCTACGGTGTCCCCATAGTCCTCATCTAGAGTTTTGGAGGCCTTCTCCTCTCTATCTTCATAAAACAAAGTAATTTGCTTTTAATGACTGCTGGTGTTTTCTTTCCCAGTTCTATTGGAGCAGATAATGTCTGCAGCCTTCCCCGCAGGTTAAACTACCATGACCTTCATAATCAGAGAACAGAAATAAATTATATTTGCTCATATATGTCACTCCGACTCAGGGCCTGGCTGCCTCCTAATCGCAGACGGTGTGATAGTGTTTTGCTTTTATCAGGCCTCTCCCTCGCAGGTAACAAAGCACTTTATTATGCCATTAAGAGGGGGGAGGGCCTCAGCCGGCGGTTCCCACTGTGGCTCCAGTGACACTCGGACTTCCAACCCTGGGACTCTCCCACGGTGGTGCCAGGAAGAGGGCGAGCGGAGCTCCTTACCCTCTGTCCAGGCCATGTGAGACAGAAGGCCTTCAGAACTGGGTGACCTGGATTTGGACTTGAAAGGAAGAGGAATTAGTGGGGAAGTCGGCGTCCTGGGCTCCACGCTGAACACTGGTGCCAGGGCCAACTCCTGCTACATCCCAGACCCCTTTGGCTGAGCTGAGTCACCGACTGGGGACAGGAAGCCGTCCATGAGCCTGCTCTTGTAGGTTCTGGTCCTTTCGTGCCTCAGGGGAACTAGCCCAGGAAGGGTCTGGAATTCTGGAGGGCATGGTCCTGGGAAGTCACTGGGCCCCTTGTTTCTGGGTAAAACAGCTCCCAGCAGGCCTGGAGGTGGTACATGGCTCTGCTGAGAGGCTCTAAACGGTGACGGATGGCATCATAACACCAGGACACTCTAAGGATGTGTCTGGGTTCTAAGGCAGCACAGACCTGGACAGAACGTTCTGGAGCAGTGGTTCTCAACCTGCTTAATGCTGTGACCCTTTAATACAGTTCCTCATGTGGTGGTGACCCCCAACCATAAAATTATTTTTGTTGCTACTTCATAACTGTAGTTTTGCTCCTGTTACAAATAATATGGTAAATCTCTGTGTTTTCCAATGGTCTTAGGGGACCGACCCCTGTGAAAGGGTCATTTGACCCCTTCAAGGGGTCACAACCCACAGGCTGAGAGCCACTGTTCTGGAGGGACACTTCTGATATCCTGGTGGACTATTTTATCAGTGTCTCTCTGAGGGAGCAGAAGGTCCTTAAATGCCCATGCATGAGAGACACCTGTGGGGTGGCACGTCCCAGTTACATCTGCCTTGGGTCTTGTGTTTGTGGCACGTGAACCACGGTGCCATATTCCCCAGGTAATGTGGCATTATTTGTACATGGTGTGAAAATGCATTGCTGTGATTGGTGTAATAAAAAGCTGAATGGCCAATAGTTAGGCAGGGGGTATAGGAGGGACTTCCAGGCAGAGAGAGAACTCTGGGAAGAAGAAGGCAGAGTTGCCAGCCAGACACGGAGGAAGCCGCAGGAGCAGTACAGAGACATTGGGTGATGAGTCACAATGGCTTAATTGAAGTTATAAGAGCTAGTGGGACCAGCCTAAGCTAAGGCTGAGCTTTCATAATTAATAATAAGTCTCCATGTCGTTGTTTGTGAGCTGGCGGTCCAAAGCAAAGTACGACTACAAGGTAAGGCACGGGGTGGCAGGTCCCTGCATCTTCCCCAGGCCCAGTCTCCTGCGCCAGGGTGAGGCCAGCACCTATCCACAACTTAGTTTATCAGCGAGTCCTGCCACTGCTAACGTGGACGTGCAGGCTGGCTGTCACTTGCTAGCCTAACCAGAAGACAGAGGGGTTCTAGCCGCACCCTCACCATGCACAGAGTCCTGGCGACCAGCGCAGGGTTTCATCCACTGGGGCCAGATCCACTAATCAAATGGTGGAGGGCAAGGACAAAAATAAGTCTCAAATAATCACATTGTGTTTTGATGAGTTAATTGAGTGTTTTATGCCCCAAATGTAAACCAATTGCTTTTCCATAGCCTCAAGCTCTGGATAAGTAGGTAGATACAGGAAGTCTTTTTGGCTTCTGTGTCCTGTCTGATAATTACACCTTTGAGCACAGCTGCTCGGCGTTGGTTCTTTCTAGGAATTCGGTGTTTTCGCCAAGGCTACGCAAAATTAAACAATAATAGTATTGGTGGTTTGGGTCCTAGTTTTGTGACATGCCGCCCCAGCTCCTGCTTGCTGAGATGCTGGAAGCCAGGCTTGCCTGGGTGCTTGGGTCTCGACATAAATGTTTAAAAGCATCCTGGTCTTTGCCTCCGTCTTATTAGGAATTACTTTCTTGGAGTGAGAAAAAGTGTTCTGGATTACCCATCGGCTTTTAAGGATTATAAAACAGATACTAGGTCTGTGGCTGTAGCTTGTTTGGTAGAGTGCTCCCATGCGACACTGGATAAACCTGGCATGGCGGTATATGCCTGGAATCCAGCACATGGAAGCTGGAGGCAGGAGGGTCAGAAGTTCAAGATCATCTTCATTTTCCCATCTCCAAAAAGAAAAAGTCAATGGATACTAACATAGACTGTTACAATGATATTCACGACAAATCAGGTAGAAGAGCTGAGGTGGCTTTAGCCGGTGACATGTTTACCATGCAAGCATGAGGCTCTGAGTCCAGTCCTCAGCACCTGCGTAAAAAGCCAGGTCCGATGGTGTGCATTCATATACAATCCCAGGACTAAGGAGGCAGAGACAGGGTCTGGGGCTTGCTGGCCAGCCAGCCTAGGTGAATCAGTGAGTGACCCTGTCTCAAAAACTAAGTAGATAGCTCCTGACACCCAAGGTTGCTGGCACGCGCGCGTGTGCACGTCCACCCAGCCACGAGCAAACCAGGACTGGTGGTCACCTTACTTACCGGCACCTCTGTCAACAGGAGCGGGGACAGTGGAGGTCAGCAGGAACAACTAGGAACAGGACCTTAGCTGGTTTTACGGTGATGGGCGGTATCCCTGGAGACCTCAGTCCTGCTGAGTGAACACTAGGGAGCATGCAGGGATGACTGACCTCACAGGCCAATGCAGTTCAGGGACTCTGTGGCCTTGAACTGGCCTGATCAGTGCAGAATGGGTCTGATGTGATTGGTCCCTCCTGGCCCTACCACTGCTCTGTGGTCCACAGACTGGCATCTGACAGCACAGGCACCACACTGTGTGAGGCTTTTTCTTTCTAGTTACTGTTAAATGGTCCACGGATAACGGAATGCCAATTTACTGATAGTGTGCAAGACCACGCCCCAACCAGCGTCTTGGGCTGCAGAAGGTAACTGCTGCAGCTTCAGGGTGGTGCTGGAGGTTGTCAGCCTTTGGGAAGAGCCCAGGAGTTCTAGGCAGCAGCCTTTCCCAAAATGTGTAATTATCCAAAGCCAGCCAGACATCCAGGAAGAGGGGCATTTGAATCACAGGTGGTTGGGGTTCTTAAAAGATTCCCAGTGTGAAGGCTGGAGACATGGATCAGTGGCTGAGCACCTGCATGGGACCTGGATTTGATTCCCAGTACCCACATGGTGGCTCATAACTGTCTGTAACTCTGATTCCAGGGGACCCAATGCCCTATTCTGACCTCTGCAGGCACCAGACATACATGTAGTGCAATACATACATACATGAAAAACATTCATACACATAAATATATCTCTTAAAATAGGATTCCCAGGTTGGTAGGAGAATTAATATGTGGGCCAGGGGTGTTCTATATAAAAGGAAAATAAAAGGTAGGCATGACATTTGAACCCCATTTGCTCCTTTAGGGAAAGGGGCTATAGAAATAGCCCAGGCAGGAGCAGCGTGCCTGGCAGTCTTCATGGCATGCGTGCACCGGGAGGTGGGTAGCCTCCTGCTGTGATGGTGCTGAGGGTGTGGAAGAAATGTCTGCATCCCTGGAAGGGGCAGGCTCAAGGGCAGGAGTGAAGAAGGGTGACAGCTGCGCATTCAGGCAATAGCATCACAAATGCATATAAACTTGCATGTGTAACTGTATATGCAAGCACATGTGAAAGGGAACATGGTTAGCGCCGTAGGCTGTGAGCAACTGGAGAACCGAAAATAATGACTAAAAAAGGCAACGAACTGTTCTTTTCTTGGAAACACTTCTGAGAAAGTAAAATGAATCAAACAGCCCATTATTAAGAATCAAGAACACCTTCAAAAACTGTCCAGTTGCTTTTCCTCCCTCCGACACCCTGCCAGCCAGCTTGCTGTCTTTACCCTTCTCCCTCACAGGTGCTGGGTTAATTGCTACCAACAGGGAGGCCATCAAGGAGTGCCTGACAGCCTGTTCCCAGGGCAGGAGTCAGGGCCACAGCCTACTCTGAAGTAGTCAGTTGCCTTCAGAAACTATGCCCATTATGGTTGCAAAATGAGCTGGGGACCCAGGGAAGGTTGGCAGCAGTCACAGCCTCGTCTGGACGTGTCAAGGTCAAAATCGCTCAGCATGGGCAAAGCTGCCTTCTGGTGGGGCACATGTTGCATTGTCTTTAACATGCACTAGAGACACAGGCCTGAGGTCCCCCTTCGATCTGGACCTCATCACTGGACCCAGTGTCCCCTCTCATCATCTCAGGCAAACGTAATTTTTCACCATCATCCTGCTCTACTCAAGATAAAATCCCCTTCCCATGAGCGCTACATCCCAACAGTCAAGTCCCCCCTACCACTGCACACACAGTTCAGCCCATGACCCAGACATGAAGGTGAGGAAAGGCGACGTACCCCTGCCCTGCCAGGGCTGCCTTTACATGGACCTTTGATTCCTCTGAGGTCTCCTGGACTCAGGGACCCAAGCATTCCAACAGCCATGCGATCTTTTCTGGGCAGGGTGTTAATGAGGCTCCGGAGAGCACACAGCAGAGCCCTCCCGTTCCAGACTCCGCACTCCCACCATGTGTCTGATGGTCTGTGTCCAGCTGCTGTGTCCAGATGTAGAGTGGTGAGGTCTGCCTGGCCCTGACTGCCTCAGATTCCTCAGGTCTTAGAAAATACAGTGTGCTTCACCTAAATAGCCTTTCTTCACATCCCCTCTTCTTCTCCGCTTCCAAATTCTGAGCAGTGTCCAGTACTGCAGTAGTGTGGTTTGTTTCCAAAGGTTTGTTTGTGTGTTGGGAGCTGAGTCACAGGGTGGCAGTATGGGGCCCATGGAACATTTCAAAAGAGGGCCTCGTGGGAGGTTATCAAGTCACAGGTGCTGGCCCTGGGAAGGTACTGGTGATGGTCTCCTGCACTGATATTCTGAGTGAGATGCTAGGTGACTGTAACTCATCCGCTACACACTTTTCTAAGCAATTTTGTTTTGTTGATTGTATTTTGAGACAAGGTTTTTCTGTGCAACAGTCGTAGCTGTCTTGGAACCTGCTTTGTAGCCCAGGCTGGCCTCAAACTCACAGAGATCTGCCTGCCTCCACCTCCCCAGTGCTGGAATCAAAGGTGTGCACCATCATCACCCAGCACTCTGTGCTTTTCTAATCCACTGCTATGTTGTGATACAGCCAATGGAGGAAAACCAGTCTAAGGTCTGAGCAGAGAGCATTTCAGCAACCTCCTAGGAATGTGGACACTCAGCAGATGCCACATCACCCTAACAGCCCCCCTCTCACCATCCCATCTCTTCAGGGGCTCTTGTGATTTCGTCACAGGTATCCAGCTGGAGAGCAAGTTGCAGCAGGGGAGGCTGGAAGCATCTCCACATCTGGCCTTAGGACTGACTTGCAGGATGACCTTGGGAAGTTCCCATATCTGTCTGCCTCCATAGTAGGTTTGAGCCAGACTTGGGACCTGTCATAGAAGAACTCAGGGTGTC